GGCAACGGGAATGTGGAAGCTTGAGTAGAGCTGCATGCCACCAAGCAATCAGCCTTTTCACCGTGTAATTCAAAGTGTGCAGAGCACGCAGGGCCAGAAACCGAGAATCTGCAGTTTGGTAGGTGGCCTTCGTGGCCAAGCGAGGCTGGAATTCTTGGAGTCGGCTTTCGGGAAGAAATTCCCGTCGTCAAGGGGTTAAAAGGGTTTGGCGGGCATTTATTTATAGTACTTTTCGGAAAATTTCTTTACTTTATAAGCCATTCTTGGTGGCAAATTCTGCTAGTTCCAATTTCTGCTAGTTCCAGTTTCTGCAATGGATTCCAGTTCAAAGTGTTGATTACGCAAAATCTGTCTGTTTTCCACGATCGCGGAAAATCAGTGGCGCCATGCATCCTTTGCAACCAGCAATGCGATTTGCCATACAGCCTCAATAGTCCAAAGTCCTCCAAAACGGCTCAGAAGAATTTTGAGGACTGACGATGGTTAGGGTTAAATTTACAAAAATATTCAGTACAAACCACTCATCGGTACAATCCACGGGTATTCAAGTACTCACTCTTCAAGCATGTGCATAGATTTGCTACAAAATCGACAAAAGTACTTCTTTTGAAAGTTATATTTGCAGGTCCAATTGTGAATGACATTCTTGCATTTTTGTAGCAAAATCACGGATTTAAGTTCTTAGACCATTAGGTACCAAATGGATGTCACAAGCGAATGATATGAGTGACAATAACAACTAAATTATAGTCACTGATACCCTGCAGGTGGTACTCATCCCACGCACTACCAACTTTGACATGTTCAGTGGCAGTGATAACATCAAGCAGAATCGGCGGGAGCAATGGGAATATTACCGATGTGGCGAGGCTCACCTGTCAGCTATCCATGCCCCCCTTTCGGATATCTGCAGAGAACTCATGTTCAGCATGTCAGCAGTGATGTTTGATGGTGCCATGGGTAAGGTCACACGGAGGCATTTGTTTGTTGACTGGGGCTGTTTGAATCTTGCGGGAGTTTTGATGCTTACACTTTGCAAAGGACTTTGCTGCCTTTTTCCCATTCTGAGGGTTCTATAAGTGGACCTTTAGATGCAGTTTGAAGTATTTAGTGTGCAGTGATAAATCATGGTCCAAGAATGTCAAGGTGTTTAGACTGGATCATTGGAAAGCTTTGACGGTAATTCCAGAAATCAGGGGTCCATTTTTTGTGTGTGTCCCTGTCACATCTGACATATGATTTTGTAAGTTCAAAACACATTTTCTAATTCCCAAGAGTGATGAATAAATGCAAATTACGTGCCAAACAAATAGTAATAGTTTGAAATCATTTCTAGTGATATTTCCATGTCAAATACCAAAGGTCAGGTGTAACAGGGACACGAAACACTTTTAGACCCCTAATTTCTGGAATTATCCCAAAGTAAGGTATGATCATTATACACATTGGGAAAACAGTAGCATGCTATTGCATTCCCCCACTCCACACATACAGTGTATCTTCAAGAATTCTTGGTGAAGAACTTAAAGATATGTCTATATAAAGCACATGTGTCTGGCAGTATTGGTGCTCATTAATGGAAAGGTTCTTTTTCCTTGCAGCTTGTGACTGTGATCCCATTGGTTCCAAGAGTTCAATCTGTGATGAGTTTGGTGGTCAGTGTGAATGCAAGGCCAATGTCATTGGTCGACGGTGTGACCAGTGTGCCCCAGGGACTTACGGCTTTGGACCCAATGGATGCTCAGGTGAGTGCATGCTTGTCTGGTACTGTGTGAATTCAGTAAGAAATTGCGGTTTGTCATGCAGCATGCCATTCTCCAAGAGACCCATACATACCTCTGGGAAACTAGTAGATTTTCACATAAATGCTCACTCAAGTGTAGACTGTAAAAAGGATTTTGATTCTGTTTCAAAAGTGCCTGGGATAAAAACAAGTATTTGGTGGGCAAACACCAACAAGTTGGCTCATTTCCTGTGGTACCAACAGAATTGGCCATAGTTTCCTTGATGCTCTAATTTCTTTTGTGGAATCACAATGTGAAGCTCTGCACCAAGTGCAATCTCCACTACATTGAAAGGTATCATGTAACTAAGGTCTCTGAATCAGTTAATCAGTTCTGAGCAATCATACATGTAAATGCTCTGTTTACATTCTCTGGTCTGCAGCCTGTGACTGTGATGGGCGAGGCTCACTAGACAACTTCTGCGATCCCTTCAACGGCCAATGTGCCTGCATCCCCAACACTTACGGCCGAGCCTGTGATCAGTGTGCACCTGGCTTCTGGAACTTCCCCAACTGCCTGCGCTGTGAATGCAATGGCCACGCACCTACCTGCGACAGTCAAACGGGAGCCTGTGAAAACTGCCAGGATTTCACTGTTGGTCATTACTGTGAAAGGCAAGTTACCTGTCCCCCATGGTTGTCAACATCAAAGACTTGTCCTATTCGTAACCTGACAGAGCCACTTTGAAATAAGGGTCTTAGGGTCTTGAAAAGAATCTTGCACAGTATGAATGAAAAGAAACTCTTGACATTATTCATGCACATAATGGCCACTTTTGTTAGGATGAGAAACTGAGTGATATTTCAAAATCAAGAGCAAAGTTTTCTCAAATATATAGTAAAATCAAATTTTGGAAGAAATACCCTGAGAGACTCATTTTGTGGGATCTGGTTAAGAGAAAAGTACCTCTGCTTTTTTGCATGCTTGTATTTGGAATTGATTGGATTCTGTTTTGATGCACCATGTAGGTGTCAGGATGGTTATTATGGTGATCCAACCCTTGGCACCAACCTACCCTGTCAGCCTTGTATGTGCCCAGGAGGTGAAGGCAGTGGTCATCAGTTTGCAGACACCTGCTACATTGATCAGACCATTCAAACTGTTGTGTGTATCTGTGAGGAAGGCTACACAGGTAGGTATTAACTTGCTCTGTACTAGTCCATTGGTGCTTAGCGCAGAACTGCACTACCCCGCACCACAGCCTTAGTATTAATGTACTTTCCACATTTACCTGACCTTATTTTTCAGTATTCTGTCTTGAATTGTGTGGTCCATTTCTTCATGAATACTGGCTGAATTCTGAAACATTATCAGACATTCATAAATACTCAGACAGTTTCATTCCTATTGGTTAAGAGCCTTTCACAAGGGTGCTTTTTAACACTTAGTTTGAAACCTTTTCATCACATTGTTATTCCTTGAATATTTATCAGACTAATTTTTTTTACTTGATTACTTAATTTTTGTAATGTTGGAAATCAGGTTGGGTGAAATGAGTTGAAAAAGTAGAAAGCTTAATCAGCTATCCCTCTGTATGTCACATTTTGGTTGTTGAGACACTCATGTTTCTTTCAATTTGGATTTTTCTGCAAATTTTGCAAAGCCTTGTCACCAGACACAAGCCTTGATAAGTGTGCACTGTAGAGGTGCGCCAAAGATCCATGTTGTATCAAATTTGATCTCCCCTAAAATGAGTGTTTTTGGACTAGGAATAAGTGCTAAACAATGTTTCAGTATTCTTTGTCTTTACTGATTTGGAAGGCCCTTTGCTCTTTCAGGGAGCAGTACCTAACAACATTTCCTTTAAAATCCCCAACAGGCATACGCTGTGACCAGTGTGACAACAACTATTACGGTTATCCATCGGTTCCTGGTGGTAGTTGTAACTTGTGCAATTGCAATGGTAACACCAACCCACTCACCCCAGGCAACTGTGACGCTACCACAGGAGAGTGCCTACGTTGTCTGTACAACACAGCTGGATTCAACTGTGATGTGTGTGCTCCAAATTACTATGGGGATGCCTTACTTCGAACCTGCAGACGTAAGCAAATTTTTGATTCAGATTCATGTCTTGTTCATTCCGTGATTTAACCAGAGAATATTTTTAATTTGTTTCTTAATTAGAATCTGTCATGTGCAAGTTTGGTGTTCAGACAATACATGCTCAAAATTTAATATATTGCAAGTCATTTGAGAACATTGACATTCATCTGAGGTCAGCCCTGTCAGCATGGCTTTACTCAGACTCACACACACTGAAGATGTTTGAACTGGTGTGATATCAGGTGCTTTACAGGTGAAATACAGAACTGGCTGGTAGATGCAACAAACTGTAAAGCCTCACCTTTCTTGTTTATATAAAATTCTTATCTTTAAACAGTTGAATTTTTATAAATCCTAAATTCCATATAGAGTCATAGCAGCTGGGCTGAACCTTCCTAGATCTTACAAAACATGGTAAAATTTAAAAAATCTGTGAAAGTCTGTAGTGGATTTTGAAGGATTGAGGAACATTCTGGAGTATTGGACATTTTTCAAAGTGCCAAATATAAAGTTTATGTTATGTGGCCTTTTTTCTTTCTGCCAGCTTGTGACTGCAATTTCCTTGGCACTGACCTGAGCATTTGTGACTTGAACAACAACTGTGGGGTGTGTGACCGTGTGACTGGCAAGTGTCCATGCCTACCAAATGTGGTGGGTCAGACCTGTGACCAGTGTGCCCCAGACCACTGGAAGCTAGCCAGTGGTGCAGGATGTGAGGCCTGTGATTGCTGTGAATATGGCTCCACCTCTACACAGTGTAATGAGGTGAGATGAACCAGAAACTGCTAAACTGTTGGTGTATTCCATAAAGGTCAGGATGGTTTTACTTCAGAGATGCATGAGGCTTTCTTGGTTCCTGATTCATGTGGCCCACATTCTTCTGAAGTATGCAGTGTTTCCTTCACAGACGCCTAATCATAAACACTATTTTTAGAACTGAAGATGGTTCCATGTACCCAAATGAGGAGAGCTGGTGAAGGATAAATTATCATCTTGGACTGGTTTATGTTTGCTTGACTTGTAACATACACGGTGAAACTTCCAGCTGTGTGTGAATCCAGATGTAAGTCAAATCAAATGGCAAGGTTTATTATGAGATCTCAGTCAAACAGCCACATTCAGAAGTCCCAGGTGACTGGCAAATTAAAACCATGATCCTTTGCAAGCCCATAATGAAATCTTCACCCATAGAGTTTCAGTCAGGCATTGTAACATATCATGACTGATCTCAAGAAGTCCTCTCGCATTTTCTTTTCTCCAGTTTACTGGACAGTGCACCTGCCAATCTGGCTTTGGCGGGCGCACCTGCTGTGAATGTGAAAGCCTCTTCTTTGGTGACCCCTTGGTGGGATGTGAACGTAAGTGGAGCTCTGTCTCATTTGCTGTAAATGTCTGGTGAGGGAAACTTCATAAATGCGAAGAAAGGAAAGAAGGAATTGTCACATGGGGTCCAACAGGAGATGGAATTACAGAGGTTTTAGTGCAAGAGTTTTGTCCTTCATATAGTGACTGGAACACAGATTTCCACTTCTTGTACTAGGCTAAGTACATGTACAGACATCTTTTGCTTTCAAAAGTAGATTATCGACCAAACAATTGGGTTTTATGTATTACTGGAAGTTGGCTCTCAGGTGGTTTTGCTTAGTGTGTAAATTTCCTCAAGTAGAATTTGCTGCTGCAAGTCCTCATTTGGCCCTGCTGTGACCAGATGTTTTTGAGGTTTCTGACTTAAGCTCTTGCATAAACAGTCAATGCATTTGCAGCGGAAATTTCCAAATGGGTTTATAACAATTTTTTTTGAACTTATTGCGTAAAAATCTAACTTGTGATGCCTGATAAATTCTGGAAATAACACTTTAGCATTCAATGTACAATGGTGATATTGTAACATCAGAAGCACATTTTGCAACGTGTAATGGAACTTGTTAGATCTCAAAAACAATTTCAGTATCTGAAGATGAAACTTAGTCACCTTTCAATATCTGAAGATGAAAGGTGACTAACTTGAAATGCATAAAGAGAAATGTAATTTACCTCAAAAAAACTTGTAACTACAGTTAGGTATCCATTGTGATCTCTGTCCAGCCTAGGTGATCATTCCCCATTTTGTTTTGAAACTCTTCAAAAGAAAATACAGTGACTCTTTGCTGAATTTTCAGTGACTGCTTAATGTTCGCAGAATTGATACATTTAACAGTCATTCCATTGATCTTAGATACACTCCAGTGTGCGGCACTTGATGAGTATAGAGAAGTGGTTTATAAAACCCATCTTTGCCAGATCAGAATTTGATCCACTCTGATCAGATTGGATGAGATTGAACTTGGTTTAATTGGATTTGAATTGTTACCTAGGTTCGGATTGGAGTGATCATCTCGACTGGAATGCAACAACATCTGGCTTTGTTTTCAACTTGCTTCAAATGCATGAACTTGTCAGCCATCTCTAGTCAACCATTATTAAATGTGGTAGTGACAATGTTTGTGCTGGACATTTGCCAGTTACCTGTTGACCGGTTCCATCTAAATATTTTTCAGGATGTCAGTGTGACCCACAAGGGTCTGAAACTCTCCAGTGTAATGGGGATGGGTCCTGTGTCTGTCGTCCTGGGGTGACAGGCAAATACTGTGATAGATGTGCCCATGGTACCACTGGTGAGGTGCCCAACTGTGAACCCTGTGGAGAATGCTTTGATGACTGGGATGAAATCATCAATGCTCTGAGAGGTAAAATGTCTATTCTTGAACATGAATGACTTCAGGGAATTATGCTGGATCTCTGGACAACTTTTTTTTTTTTATCCGTGGCCTTCAAAAGAATGACTCACAAAATTAAATATATGCTTTTAAGTACCACAGTATATCTGCAGTCATAAAGTCTCTAGATTGAGTTCTACCGTCTGCAACCTCATAAGTTTATCAGTTTTTCATACTCAAAAGTTGATCAAAGTACAGTTTTCCCCTGTTGGTGTAAGTGCCAAAAAAGTTTATTCTCATTTTTAAATTAACTGTTTCTTTTGAGATTAAAATAGTTTCTCCAAAATATAATAGTTACCCCTAATATTTGCATACTATTACCACCACTACCATTGCTTGATTA